ATGTACATATGTGTTAACTTCATTGTTTTCTTTGTATTTTTTTGTAATTTTAGGCTAACGGCAAATCCATCCATATTTGTCCTTTTTCCCCAAGACCAGGTATCAACTTTAAACAGATTCTTTGAGCTCCGTCTCTTTACATGCTACACGTCTTCCAGTCCACAGGTACCTTGATGTATCTCCAAGCTAGCCACAGTGATGGACTTTTTTCTGGGAACTGTTTCATTTGGCTTTGTTCCAAGAATAGTCACCTCTTTCGTCAGCTAGGAGCCATCAACCACTGTCAAATGACAAAGAAGAAGTGAAGTGATGTGCATTGTCATCGTTGCATGCACACACAGCAACACAACTTGTCCTCTGCATGTAACTCATCACATAAGACACACAAAAGTGAGCATAGCAGCTGTTTAAGCACCAAGGGAGCATTTAGGGATTAGATGTATTGCTTTTAAGGACACCGTAACAATGCGTGGTGAGGAATTGGACCTGTGACTTTCTGGTTCAAGGATGTCAGTGTGCCCCAGTCGCCACCTATTTAGGTTTTTGCTTTTAAAAACAAAGCATTTCAGGTTGTTTAAATACACTTTTATATTTGTCATAAAAACACTGCAAAGTAAAAGAAATACATGCTCGCTGAAAACCTTTCAGGGTGGTGTTGGTTCTGTTTGCAAAAACGCTTAATGCATTTGTAAAACAATACACACGTGTGAGTGATGTGGCTTTGTGACTACACGCACACACACACAAAAAAATCATACAAAGCAGTCTTCAGTGAGCTGTGAAACTTTACCAAACAGTGAGTAACTCAGATGTTACAGCTGTTCTCTGTAGGAGTGTGTCTCGAAAAGCCCAAATGAAAACTGCAGGGATGTTCAGAAAGCCATGCTCCACTGATCATGAAGTTGACAGCTACGGGCTTAAAGGTCCTTTAGGTAGAGTCTACCTCTACTTTCTCGCTCTCTCACTCAGTTTCTTCCTCGGACTCTCTCTGGAAGTTAAAGGGCCGGTGAAGCCTGATTTGAATGCAGAGGAGTAAGGCTCTGCTGCAAATTGAAAACATATTGATTCTCCTCATGCTTTGAGGCAGAGGCAGCGAGAGACAGAGGGAAAGAAGGAGACAGTCTGGAGCAAAAAAAAAAAAAAAGTCTGGTGAAGGAACAACATGGGCAAGATTGTTGCCCAGTGCAAATCTTCATGACTCTTCAAACACATACACATGCGTATGATTTAAAATCCATATACTGTACATTTTGTGCAACAGCATCTGGACAACCGTTTGGACATGTTTGCATGAGTTTCCTCCTTTTCCATGAGAGCACACGCCGTCAAGTCTAACCAAAGCGGGGAGAGGCCACATGATGCCAATAGGAGAGGACAGCACATATCCGTACAGATGTGCTGACTGCACGGTTTCCATGGTAACAAAGCCCCCATCACCACCCACTATCACCACCAACAACATCGCTGTTGCAAAAGCTTGAAGAGCTCCTCTAACGCTTTTCGATCTGTCTTCACGTGTCCTGCAGTTTCTGCTCTGAACTCTCACATCTGAATGTCTGTGTGTGTGTGTGTGTGTGTGTGTGTGTGTGTGTGT